TTAAGAACTAAATTACTGTCAAATAGATATCTACTAAAACATTCCTTCGATGTCGCGTCAAAAATATTGCTTGTAATACTATTTTATAAAGTAATTAGTGCTATTCTGACACCAGCAGAGCAGAGCAAAAGTAACCTTGTGACGCTGTGAATAACTAAGCTCAAAAATGATCTTCGTACTAACAGTCTACATGATGTGAATGAACAATTCTAAATGTCAAAAAGTTGCTTTATTTTAAATCAATGCATTATAAATTGAACGAAGACGAATGATTATAAATTATATAGGCAAACCTCACTTTAAACGTTGGAAGAGAATTCGATGCAAAGTCTTGTGACATCTAGTTAAAATATTTGCACATTTCTTTGGGAGATTTGAAAATGCTTCTAACAGTCAAGGTCACAAAAATACATTCAATTGGATCATTTAAACAAACCAAAACAGATTAAACAAGGTTTTCATTTGGACGCGGGGGGAACAAAATTCAAAGCTTTTACATCTGATAATATTTCTTCGTCAAAGTCTATCAACGCCTGAAAGAGAATCCTAATCTTTATAAGTTTGATGCAGAAACCGATCAATCCATAATGATTTTGATCATATTATACTGAATTCGATGTTTTGAAAACAAACATCGGAAATTATCCAAGATATAAATTCATAAATTATGATAGTTTCAAATTCTAATCGTAAATATGCAGTTTCGCTAAATACGGCCAAAAAAATCTCAAACTGAGGAAGAATGAAGATGAGCTGCGATTGTCGATTATAATTAATTCAGACACACGTTTATCACATCCAATTCCAAAGTCTGTCTGCAACTATGGATCATCTGAATTGTCACTGGAACCTAACCGAACCATCCGGCAGTCGAGTCACTGCTCGTCTAAAAGTTCATTTATTCTCGTTAAATCAATGACAACCGAAAAATATCAGTTAACCGTAGGCCATGAACTGGCCCACACGGTAGTGGTTGTACATTATTCCTTACACCCACTTTTATTGATACAATCGTTATAGCAGCTCATGAGCAATTGAGTTTATTCACGTTTCATTTTGTAAAGCTCTTTTGTTAACCCATTTAACGGATAGAGTCATCTGGACATTAACAGTTTACCTTATATCATTACACCTTTATTATTGTTGTACTACTATGAATATGTATGCTTGAGAATTGCTTACTGCCTACTCGTATATTCATTCTGCTAGCCTTACTGTTAGTCACTTAATTGATTTGATGGTTCATTCAATTCACTATGTATATATATGTACATTTCAATCGTGTACTTGGACTCGCTTGTCTGCTAGCACTTCGACATTATTCCTACATGGATGCTTAGAATTCCTGTAATCATGGTTATCTGTACATGGAGTAATAATGAACGTAATCAGCACTTCGTATTCACCTTCTGATCAATACACCGTTGGGGAGTTACTGTCCAACAAAAAGCTGCGGAGGGATTTTTATCGTTCTCTTTCCGTTACAACCATCAACCGACTTATTTCGCGGTAATCCACGCAAATTGGAATTGAATGATACCATGAGTACTGCATTCTCAGAGGTCAAAACGGCTATGGCTCAAGTTACCTTCCTCGATAATCCTGACCCATCGACCACGCTTAGTATTGCGGTTAATGCACCGGATTTAGCTATTATGCTGTTATGCAACAGAACATCTCTGGAAGTCGGCAACCACTCGAATTTTTCCTACGGAGACGAGATATCGTGCTTTTGGTCGAGAACTAATAACAGCCTAGTGTGCCATCAAAAACATTTCCAACACGCAGTAGAAGGCCGCGATTTCATCTTGTTCACCGACCATGAGTCATTAACGTATGCTCTGACCGCTGCTCACCACGAGAGACATTTGGACTATATCTCTCAGTTCACAATAGACCTTCGTCACATCAAATGCGAGTCGAACTATGTCTCCGATGCCCTGTCACGTATTCAAATGAATGCAGTTACTTTACCGGTGCTTGGTCTTCCTCCTATGGCTGCCGCCCAAGCAAACGATCTCTTTTGTACAGAAGCACCACAATGCATATCCCTTCAGTGCCTAGGAGTGCCCCTAGCTACTAGCTCAGGTACTATCCCTAGTTAACTTCTACTGGTTTTCCCCGATGACACGGTATAGGACTATATACCTATACAACATACATGCCACACCCTTTCTCTTTTTCTTTGATTTTTTTGTACCCTGAGCCCACGCCGCCGACCATCGTCCGTTTGGTACCTTCGACTTCAGCCAGGTCGTCGAAAGCTGGCCTGATCACCCACGCTTTTGTCAAAGCACTCAGTCGATGTTCTGGTTCCGAATATGTTTGGCATATATTTGGTCTCGCGCTTAGTTATTATGGTCGCTTCTGGTTTCTTGGCTCAACGTGGTTCCATCCTACGTCTGCAGCGTTTACTGGTCAGGACCCATACGAACGCAATCCCCAAATCCTGGATACAAACCACTATGGCGTGGCATGCTAACTCGAACAGCAAATACAACACGTTTCTCCTGGTACCATTCTACGTAAAAGACCTTCGGTGATAACTTGAGGATCAACGATCGCTTCTGGTTCTGCCAACCCTCTCGTCCTACAATCACACGTTTGCAGATCAGTCTCACGAACGAGACCACTAAGTATCGAGAGAGTAGACCTTTACTAGTGGGGGACTTCTGTAGTGACCTACTTTTATCAAGAGAACGCGATTGGTGTGATGTAAACAATTATCATCAATTGTACCATGGATTGTTTTACCGTACTTGTTCGTTTGACTGTACCGAAATACATACATTCTTCCGTTGATTGTGACCTTGCGTGAACTTACGTTTGCTCAATAATTCCACTTGTACTTCTTTGGTACGATCTCGGTATTATTTCGATACCACGAGATTGCCAACAAATACATCTCGAGTACAGACATCAACTGCCTTCCAATATTTGGCCAACGGAGGATCTTATCGATTAACTGGCACATAGTCTTCCTGTAGTGGTGATCATAGTCAACCGCGACTCGACGCCACACTACTTACTCATGTCAGATTAGTACTCCTACGCGTGGTTATTGAAGGGATCGTTTGCGAAACGTATAGCTATGTGGAACTATATTGAGCAAAACATTTTTGACATTCGGACAAATGCAACTTACAACGTTGGTAACACACATCTCTCAACGATGGTAAACCATGATTGCAGTAAAAAGAAGCAATTTGGAGTCGTTTCAAAAGATGGCGACTGCGATAAAACTGGAAACTAAACTAAACTGAAGTCAGGACGAACTACGGCATCAATATTAGCTTAAAATCATGCCGGAAATGGTATACATCCTCTCATTATCTTACAGATCTCGTTAACCCCCAAGGTGAGTGACAGTAATGTGTAACACTTCGTTTCACTTATAATATCCTTGACAGTAACTGCTTCAGTTCATCGCGTGAAACAACCCAAGCAAAGCATTTCATTCACTTAATGTTCTTAATTAAAAAAAGGAAATACTGTTCCACTTTGAAAGTGAAACTTATGAAAAAAAGCTTTCACTATATAGTTATTTGCTCACTCTTGACAATATTGCACTATGTAAATCAAATCACCGTTGTCAACCGATTACATCACCTCTCCCAATTACAGATTTTAAGTAATTTTGAGACGTCTCGAATGATCTTAGCATCTAAATATCTGGAATCTCTACGTTTCGACAGTTCGGTCTAAAACCTTGATAAATGACTTTAATTTCCTTGAATAATTTGTGCTGGCAAAGTTGATGCGAGAAAAGATAGAAACAAATAGAAGAAAGCAAGGACTAGCTGTACCAACAATCCTCATTAATTGATACATCCATCCATATAGCACACAGTTCAACACACATACTTCTCACACCTTAAGGGTGCCATCTTTTCCCAAAGCGTCTGGTACGACATTTGCATCACCTTGTCAAGTATATTCGACTACACTAGGGATTAGTCAAAGTAACATACGGATTTCAGAAAAATCTAGAACGATCTGATTCAGGATATCCTTCAAGCAGTAAGAATATACGAATCTTACTCCCGATTCATTGAGTCATTGGCGTCTCGATTGCTTGAACGCAGATTTTGTGACTGAATCCGGAGCAGTCACACTACTAGATGTACGAATTAAATAATGCTTAAGCTGATACTGCTGTGACTTATTGACGGTTAAACGTTATTCAGAACAAAATCAACGTGACTTAACCAAAGATGAACTACATATTTCACTGTAACGCCTGGTTGGCAAGTAACGGGTTAGCATAGAATATAATGACACGTGGTCTGCATTTGACACATTCCATGTACATACCACTTACATAATTTGATGAAAGACAAGAAGTTTTCCCTTGTCTAATGTGAAAATAGGCAAACCACTTGAGACTACAATTTACAATAGTTGTAATCAGGAGTAAGTGATTAAACTGTCTTTTGAGTTAAGTAGCGTTATAAGTTCAGAAGTTACTTATCAGACGGTGAAATTTGACTTGTCAGTCAGTCAGCTACAACTTAGGAAGTCTGATCAGCCCTAATGGGTTGGTGTCTAACGAAATCTCAACACAGATTCGAAAAGCTGGCTTGGCTTTTGCCAACTTACGTCACCTATGGCGAAGGCGAGATATCCGTCTATCAATAAAAGGACGAGTATACTGCGTATTCTAAGTCGATAAGTGGACTTCCTGGAAGGAGATCAATACCCGAGAATTCAGTCAACGCGAATGTTATTTCCATCAGTAGGTCTATGATGAAGTTAAACAAAAATGGAGAAAGTGGACAGCCTTGACGGACACCATTTAAGGTCGTAAAAGCATATAACAGTTCGCCACAAACTCTGACTCGACTGGTAGTGTTCGAGTAAAGAGCCTTCATAAGGTTTATGTACTTCTGAGGTACGCCTTTCAATGACAGACACTGCCACAGAATCTCGCAGTCTACGGAGTCAAATGCTGCCCCGTTATATTTCACAGTTCCAAAAAGACTAACAAAGATACTTCTGGAGTTGTAGTTTTTTAAAACTTTATATTTGCAATACAAAAAATAGAATGTCACATATACACTATCTTAACAAGTGAATTACATACACGTGTATAATATTAATAATAATAATATAAAAAATCAAATATTTATACACTGATTAGAGAGTAATGATAAGTCGAAAAATAAACAGAAAAAGTTATTCTCTTTTATGAAATGCATTTAAAAATAAGCAATGATGATACAAGTAATGACAGTGAGATACATATACATAGATCCACAAAGAAGATACACGTATAGTCAATGAAAACACAATACAGTGGAGATAATGTGAAGCTTTGATCGTCTGAATAGAGTAAGGCAATATATGTATGTATGTATAAGACAGCGAAAAACAGAGATGCAAGAGAATGTGAAAGTTAGTCTCAAACAAAAAAACACACAACAACTTATGTTTCCACCAAACGGAAAAAGTTTGGTCCACGGGATATATAAATATCTGAGTAGGCAACTTCTTGTGCTAATTCCACAGCTCCTTGTTTACGTAATAGTAGAACTGTATAGAATTTTGAAGCAGCCTTGAATGTAGACATTTGAATAAGCGAAAAAAAAACAGACGAAAAAGTGATCAGTCAAAAACACTGATATATCAATAGACAGTCAGTCAGCTACAACGTAAGACCATGCACATATATGCATCCGTTCAAGTTGCCATACCTCATTAACACAACAAGATGAACACCGGATTCATAAAAGTAGGTAATTCAGAGGTGGTAATATATAAAAGAAAGATTGCAATAAGGATATAGTACAAGAAGAAAGACTTAATTCGTAGAAAGAAAGATCTGAAGTGATTTTAATCTCTTAGTTTAAGGGACAACAGAGAGTGTATACACCGACACCATTGTGATAGATTCTGAGCCATGTCAATAGACAACAATTTGTAGAAACTAAACTAGATGTTGACAAATTGCAGATGAAGACGTTTGAACAAAAAAACAAGTTAAGCGATGGAATAAACAATATCATACTCTTTTTACAAAAAAATGGCTAGAACTTTTGAACTACTCTCATTTGAATGCACAAAGAGTTGGAAAATACTACTACTGATTAAAATCCTCAACTAATAACAACTAGATCGTAGGGACTTAAACTACCACCTTGTATCATAGGCTAAGATTATTGACTTTAATATCTCATATCTTATTACACAACCAACGATTTAGTTACGTCACATTGATCACTAGTATTGATAATATACAGAAGAATCATAATCTCTTTTCTTATTCGAAGTAAAAGGACTGGTTGAGAAAAAAAACAAAACGATACACAGAATAGCTATTATTAGTGTGAAAAGTAATGTAAATAAGCACGAAAAACATTGATTACTGAGTAGTTAGTAGCATAATATTTATCTAATGCTTGAGGGTTGATCAAATTCTATTGATGTGGCAGCTAGTGTTTCAACATCGCATGAACTACTTTTTTGACGTTGGGTAAGAAAACCTTTCAGACCTAAATTTCATGCGAGTTGGTAAAAACAATTATGGTGTATCTACAATCTTGGAAAATAGATGTTTTACGATCTGGGACATTATCAGTGAACTACTATTTGTTGGAACAATTAGACAGACCAAGAGATTTAGTAACGATTGAGATCAGGAACCGATTGATGTTAGACCACCATTGAAAACATGAGAGTACTGGACGGGCGTTTCGTCCTATTGTGGGACTCTTTAGCAGTGAGCACCCACGATCCCTCTCGCGGGATTCGAAGCCACGGCCTTCAGTCTCGCGCGCGAACGGTTAACCTACTGGACCACTGAGCCAGTATCCAGTGGTGCTAATGCCTAACCTCAACCAATCTACGAAGTTGAGCAACCACCTTCTATTGTACTGAGGTAGACACCTGTTTCTACCCGACACGGATTAGCTCGACTGGTCACGGTTCATAATCTCAATCAAAACTTAACAATCTCCACAATCACTATACTGAGATTTAGTAATGTAGAATCACGAAAATGTCCTTTCTTCTGAGCTAAAAATATTCAGAAACAAACCAATCAATCATAGAGGAAGTTATTGTACATCCAAGTGATCATGAAGATATTGATTATCGATTCCAGTCATCATAGTACAGAATTCCTTGTTATTCACAAGATATATATCGTAAATATATTCCTTATTGAACATCCATTTAAAAACAGTACAAATTTTTCTACAACTTAGTCACTTTGCAGGAAAAGTGTGGTACATATTTTGGGTAACACAGTAATACACTATCTGGTTGCCTAAACGAAACATGATAAGATGGAATAGCATTTTGTGTATTTTCTACAGGTGAAACACAAATTCCCTTTAAATACACCATTATGTATGTACGGAAAACATATTTAGAAATAAATAAGTAACAAATTGACTCACTTGTTTCTTTGTATTACCATGACATAAACCTTGTAATGTTAATGGTTCATCCCAACCATATTGTTGTTGATGTACACGTAACATACGTAATAACACTTTAGAACGTTTCTCTAAACGACGTTCCTCGGCTGTTTCCAATGGTAAACCATCAGCTGAGAGGGGAGCTTCAGATCCAGGAAAACCACTTCCTGATAATAAACCATCACATGTTTTAGCATCATTTTTAAATACATTTTCTAATTCATTGTCAACTTCATTATCAGCTGCGGCCAATTCACGTTCTAATGCCAACATATCAACCTGGAATGGAATTTCAGAGGAGAAGAAATACTCTAGACATACCCAACAAGTATTCACGAACAAGTAATATTTGAATGAAAAAAAACTGTCTTGCAATATAACCTCATCATCAATGACTTATTTATTTATTTAATCAGATAAACATTGGTACAAGGAGGCACCGAATAGATATGCGCCACATAAATCATTCGATATGTGTGAGGGCTAAGATACTGTCCGGGTGCCCAAACCGAAGCAGGTGGTTTTCTTAGGGGGTCACTCCTCGAACCTTTGACCTAAAGGTCTAACCCACAAGGCAGTGGAGCAACGTTAAGAGATGCAGTCCCATGGTAGCCGGTGACCAATAATTGGTTCATACGCCATTTGTTCTTTCAGGATACTGGAGCCCATGTGCACCATTGGTTTGCAATGAGGGTTTTCCAACTCCCTAGGTGGACTCTCCATGTCCACCAAGCCGGTTAAAGCGCCGGACATTGACTTTTCATCCTCTCAATTTCGTGAACAACACCGCCTCCACGAGAAGGCAGTGAGGTAGGACTTCCCCGCATCAATGACTTAACAGCTGTATGTCCATAATTATTGTATTATAACGGTTAAGATAAAGTATACACATAAACAAATGAATTAGACAATGTTAAATGTTACAATAATGAATTTTGAACGTCGGTTACAGTTCAAATACATCTAAAATGTGTCAACTACAAATTTGAAAGAGAAGCAAGAAATCTTATTGAATAGTTCCAAGTTATAATAAGAACATAATAAAATAAATCATGCGAATAAAATACATATAATAGAAGCTTATATGTCAGATAATAAGAATAAGAATAACACCATGTGAATATAATATATTATCAGAATGAGGGTTTGTGGAGACTGGTAATTTTAATAGTTTAATTCATGAGTACTAGTATAGGACTCTTCAACAATGCGCATCCACAATCCCACACAAGGGATTCAAACCAAGGACCTCCGGATTCGTGAGCGAATGCTTAACCTCTAGACCACTGAGCTGCTATCCAACGGTGTTAATGATGTTATGTTAAAACAAACAAAATACAGGTAACTTGTTGAAATGTGTTGATGTCAAGAACAAGTAGCCCAGATATAAAACAGGCTTCCAAAGTACAAAGGGAGTAACACACATCATAGTAGTAGTGGAATCATTAGCACTCACATAGAAACACACAAATAAAATTAAAGTATAACTGAAGGTTATACATAAAATTGTGTACTAAGTCTAAGTGACATTTGTATATAATGAAAAATCTAAATCAAACGTATCAAGAGATTTGTGTGGAAAATTATTTGTATTTATATTTCTGTAAGAAATTGAGAGGGCGAAAAGCGAATGTCTGACGCTTCAACTGGGTTGGTGGACATGGAGAGTCCACCTAGGGGAGTTAGAAAATCCTGATCCCAAACCACAAGTGTACATGGGCTCTATGATCCTAAGAAAACAAATGGTGTATGAACCAATCGTTGCTCACCGACTACCATAGGATTGCATCTACTAACATTGCTCCACTACCCTGTAGATCAGACCTTTAGATCAAAGGTACCGGGTGTGGCCCCTAAGAAAACCACTTGCTTCGGTCTGGCCACCCGAGCAGTATCCAAGCCCCCACACAAATCGAATAATTTATGTGGTGCCTCCTTGTACTAATGTTTATGTGTTCAAATAAATATGTTTCTACTTTAAAGGGTTTGTGTGTGTGTATGTTATTGACAATCATTTTAACAGCTTAAAAACAAATACAATTTATTCTTGTCTAATAGCATATTGATAGATTGATATGATTAGTTTTGTTAATAATCTATTACTTTCATTCTATCCATGTAGGTTGTCATTGACTTTGAAAATATATTCATTTTGTAGGTTTGTAGAAATTTTTTACTTGTATACCACCTCTTAAAAAAGATACCTTTTCTTAATCAATAGTTGATTTTTCACTGTTAGCTTAATTGGAATTGTATGAAGAGAAGAGAGAAAAAAGTATTTTAATACCTAACAATTTTTTTATTACACACTAATTGAGTACGAGTGAATGAAGACTCAGCCTCCAAATGCCCTGGTACGGCCGAGAGTGGGGAGAGTTTGCTCTCCCTCTCGAAATACTCTCACATGGCCACGCGTATACAGCCTCTGTCAGGGAAGTCCTACTCATTGCCTTCTCGTGGCAGGGGTGTTGGTTACGAAAATGAGAGGACAAAAAGCGAATGTTCGGCGCTTTAACCGGATTCCAAACCAATGGTGCACATGGGCTCCAGTATCCTGAGGGAACGAATGGTGTATGAACCAATCGTTGGTCACCGGCTACCAAGGGACTGCATCTCCTCATGATGCTCCACTGTCTTGTGGGTTAGACCTTTAGGTCAAAGGCTCGAGGTGTGGCCCCCTAAGAAAACCACCTGCTTTGGTCTGGGCACCCGGGTAGTATCCCAGCCCTCTCACAGATCGAATGATCTATGTGGCGCATATGTATTTGGTGCCACCTTGTACCAATGTTTATGGGTTTAAATAAATAAATAATAAATCGAATGAAGACTCAGAGAGAGAGAGAGAGAGAGAGAGAGAGAGTATGCATATATACAAATCCAAAATACACAACATCAATAGGGAAGCTCTCGGTTTTTTTTACACTCTATACACTCCGTTTTTAAACATTACTTATCAATGCACGTTCACTTCTGAACAAAATTTCAACCTTGAGAACATTAGCTTTTCTAGCCAAGCCTTCTTTATATGATATGATATCAAGCGATAATGATGATGACAAATTCTATTCAAAAATGAACAAATCTCTAGAAACTACTCCCAGGTTATCTTTTGATAATTGTGTTACTACAACATAGTGATAAATACTGAAGAAATTTATATGTACATAAAAAACCCCAGTAGTATTTTGCATGTAATAAGTGTATGTTATATCCCGATAAGAATAATGAATGGTAATCTTTTGGGATCCATATATGGACCAATATTATGAGTATATTTTTATCGTATAATTGTTATGTAACTGAACTGTTCATATTCATGTCCCAGTTATTATGAGTTTTATTTTGACCTATGAACTATTATTGTACGATTTACCATTCTTGAGTTATGGCCTGTCTATTAATTACTATCTCCCACATTCACAGCCACATTTGGCCATATTTTGTACAAATGTTATTTTCATATTTTATGGTACGTTGTGGTCGGGTTGATTGGTATATAAACCCAGTATGTTTGAAATATCATGATTCATAATCTCAGAGGCTGAGATTGGTGTTCTGGACTCAACTGCCTGCTGGACTAGACAGGGAAGCGGGAACAATCAGGACCCTCGGTTGCCCGCACGTGTATATGCGTCACTGGTTCAATCGATAATTCGCTGCACTCTGATTGGCGGTATCGTTGCGTTATACAATAAACAAGGCACATAGATTCACAAGATATAACAGTATGCAGTGTTTTAAAATTTTTAAGTTTCTGGAAACCTTTAACTTACTTGCATTACACTTGGTGGGGCTTCTGATAAAATACTTGGAGGTGCAAGATAAGGTGTTTCTGGTTCTACCATGAATCCTAAATCATCATGCATAGGTGGTTCATCATCAAGATCATCTTGATTATTATCGGCGCCATGAGATGCTAAACAAAGGGCAGGGGGAGAGAGAGAAGGGAGGGGGTGATGATATGTGTATAAAAAAGAGAGTGTACTTATTCTATACAATGTGTACAGTATATTCTCAGTATAAGTTTTCACCTTTTAGTTAGATAACCCATCACGAGAAATGGTTTGTCTCGTAAAATTTCTGAGTCCTGACATCATGAGAGAAGAGAATATGCATAAATACTTGAGAGACAAATCACACTTGCAATTTTTTGCAAACTCGCATAAAAATGCACTAATATGCTCTTCAACCAATTCATTTACCAGACACAGGTTCGCATGTTTGGTTTCGAGACACATTCTGAATGTGAAGGGTAGTGACAATACTAGTTTGATCAAACCGAAGTCTGTGGAACGGAGTTCGAGCCTTCGGTTTAGTGGCTAAAAGTTGGATGCCTTAATAACCTCTGAACTACCGTCCCACGTTTATATATACCCACACATATAATAATGAACTTACTTGCAGGTGTTGGCCTTGATTGTTCACCATGTGAAGCAGTAAATGGAGCTGATTCGTCTTCTGGGATTTCTGATATAGGACCCAATTTTTGAGGTAATTGCATTGTATCTTTCATTGTTTCACCAAATTCAGAAATGGATACATCAGTAGACTGTTGCTGTTGAATACTTTGATCGAATGAAGTGTTTGGTTGTAAAGCCTGTTATGAAAGATAAACAACAAATACAGAAAATGATAAGCAAGAACAATGTCCAATAAAGGCTGATAGGGATGCACATAAAGTTCAGTCGTAATCAACAAAATATTTCTAAAAAAAGGACGTAACTCTGTAGATTAAATGGAGGGAAGTCAGTTATAATTAATGTGGTACCTAGTACAAATACATATTGCGGCCCAAATTGTTACATCACATAAGCATAATGAAAGAGGAAATTAACAACATCCATAAGGAAAGTTATAAATAGTGTGAAAAAGATTTGACTTAAGGAAGAACGACTGAAAAGAAGCAATAGGACTAGAAAACAAAGGGTGTAGTATTGGAACTTAAGATATAAAGAGGCTAAACCAAGAGCGAACGCATGTGCATCAACAAGATCGGTTCCCAGTCATGTCGCCTAACGTCTCTTCAGTCACTGAATACAATTTACCTTATCAGGGCAAACAATAACCCTGGGATACAGGTATGCCAAGTTGAAGAGTCCCAAACAGGACGAAACCGGAGTCCTGGATTCCACTGCCAGTCACCATTCATCTCTGCTTATAATGCTTGTGACTTAATGGCAATGTCAAGACAATCTGCACAGGACGCATATACGCCAAAAAGACTGATCAATTTCGGTGCTCAACACATCACTGAGAAGATTCAAACCCAAACACAAATGAATCAAAGCTACGGTTGCTTGGTAAAAAGCTAACAACTCTATGACAATAACAGTAGTAATTAAGGCACTGAATACAAAAACATTGTTTAGAAGAAGGTTAGAACACTAAAACAAAATTACACACAAGCACACTTATATATTATTTACAGATATTTTAATGTCAGTGACATATGAACATGCAGATTTAAAGCAAACAATTGTTGAAAGAATAATTGTTACCTCCGAATTAGTTAGCATATTCGATTGATCAGGAAGCGGTTGTTGTTGTTGAGTAGTTGAATTAAACGATAGACTAGATAGTAAATTAGATGTTTGAAAAGATTCCCCTGTACTAGTAACATCATCTGGGACAGCCTGAGTATATAAATTACGCATAAATAAGCGTTGCAGTACTCGTGATGGAATAGCACGACCAGGTAGAACAAACAATTTATCCACACTACCTGTCTCTTTCCAATGCATTAATTTTTTAGTCGGTGGTGCCAAATCTAATTGGGTTGTAATATCAGCGGTATTCTCCATTTGGGATTTCATAACTTCACTTGGAATTGACTTTTGTTCATCAACGATAAGTCGACGTTTACGTTTTGTTGCTCTATTATAAAATGGATAATATGTAGAAAATAGTGAATATCAAACAAGCAAATAAATAATCTTCATTGAGTGCCATATTCGATGGAGTAAACAAGGTTAAATTGTACTTGGTGAACAGACAACGAACAAATACACCAAACAAGTTGTCAGTAGATAGTAATGCAAAAAAATTCTAGATCTAGTGTGCAATTCGTTAAAAAAATCTGTGGTTTAAACTGTCACTCACTGATATGCGTAAGACTTCTACATATTTTTATACGTAATCTATTACTACGTAGGAGGTTAAGATTAACTGACACCTCGAAAAATTGCAGACTTGTTGATGAGTGTTAGACAGCATGGAAAGTAGGTCTGAAGTTTCTTTCTTATTGTATCTAACGATCTAACATTAAAACAAAGGTGGCCAAAAGATCCCTAGTCACTTAATTTAGTAACTTCAATATAGCTTGATGGAAAGAATTTACTCAACAGTAACAAGTACACAATATGACATCTAAAAAACCAGACGGTAAATTCAAACTACCCTGTTAGGGTCAGCACAGCAACCGTCATCAGTGGTTGGAGACGCTAAGTAAACTGGGTCAGAATCAGTTGAAATGATACGGATACACACGCACTTTACCTTACTCTAGATCATGAGTTCCAATATCCCTTCACGCTGCGGCAGATAATGATGTGTTTATTCTCATACCTTATATAAAAATCGACAGGATAATCGATGGATGACCTTCAGCAAGCAAAATAATGCAATTAGAACAGCTTATTTAGAAGAAAAAAGCAATTCATATAATACGACTAGAGAGTAGAGAATGAGACAGGAATGAATGGATCTATATATACCATGTAGATAAATATATAAATGGATGAGCCATTATCCATTAAATATGTGTATAAGATCGTTTAAGCAATTGATGCTTGAGTAAGTGGAAATAATATGTAGACGGATACAATCAAACACTCATGCATACTCGTTTGTATAACAATACACATATGAAGGCTAATTAAATAGAAGTATAGACCAATTATCAAGGATTAAAATAACACTTTATCTACTAAATAGGTTGATATGATGGTTTAGTTAATTTGAACCTATACAAGACTATGTGTATGGGTAAGGTCATCATGAACCATAATATACCATTTCATAGTGTTAGCAGGACATAGACTGGATTAAAGCATGCTCAATGCACGACTGCTTTGGTGCACGCTGATTGGCTAATTCTTATCCAATCAGCACTAGTCGATATTTTGAGAATACTCTATAATCTTCTCATGTAAAAACTATAAATATACTAACGTTTTCTCTATTGTGCTTCTTACTGGCTTCTTGCTTCCATCTACCCTTGTTATTTGGAATATAATCTCTTTCCTGTTCAACTGTGTTCTGATTTGGGGACTTGTCGAGTGAATCGGTATCCGAGATTACTAAGCAATAGGAATAGCTGGGTCATAACCGTAAGAAAGAGATTATAACACATTGTCTTTCTCATCATCATTACTTCCACATTAGTTAGACTTCAGTTCATCTTGTTCATTTCATCTCACTGTATTAATGTGGTATGGAAATTTGGACTAACGCACATATCTACCAGAGTCTATACTGATTTTGACTGACTAGCTGATGCGAAGAGAGAGTTTGGTTTGACCAAGTAGTGATAGAATAATCATAGAAACACTTTTATTGCTATTATTTTTCTGATTTTTTTTCTAAATCCATTGAGATAAGACTCATGTAATAATAATTACACTATTTATTTATTTCAACACATAAACGTTAGTACAAAGAGGCACCAAATATATACGCGTCACACTTAGTCACTCGATTTGTGTGACAGCTGGAATGCTGGCCAGGTGCCCAAACCGAAGCAGGTGGTTTTCTTAGGCGGTCACTCCCCAAGCCTATAACCTAAGTCTAATCCACAAAACAGTGGAACAACGTTAGGAGATGCAGTCCCTTGGTAGCCGGTGACCAATAAACGTCCATGCACTATTTGTTCCCTCAGGATCCGGAAGCCCATGAGCACCGTTTTTTGTAATCGGTATTTCCCAACTCCCCTACGTGGATCCTCCATATCCACCAACCCAGTTAGAGCTCTGGACATTCGCTTTTCGTCCTTTTAGCTTCGTAAACAACACCCCCACCACGAGAAGGCAGTGAGTAGGCCCCTAAACGGACGAGGGTGGGAAGAGCTCACTCTCCTCCTTGAAATGCTCACATATGACTACGCTTACACAGCCACTGACGGGAAAGTAATTAAACTAAAAGAAGATTTATGCAGTTCGGGATAGAAAAAAAGGAAAATAGTTTACCGTTTTGGTTCAACGCCTGTTGTTGTATATGTTGCCTCAATAGGTGGTAAGGCAAACGCTTCAGATTCATTACCAATTAAAGTTGTACTTTCTGTCATTGCAGTAACTCCTAGTCCAACTCTGGATGTTGTTGTATCAGTTGGTAGACTAGTTGGAGCAACAAATCCAGCTGTCTCTGAAGTTATCGTCATTGCTACTGTTGTTGCGGTTGCTGTTGTCATCAACTCGTTTACTGATGTTGACACTGTAGAAAAAGCGTCTAATGGTTTACTGACAGTAGCAGCATTCGATATTAGGTCTTCATTACTCGATGTTGGAATTGGAGTGGCAGTAATATCATTATGATGTAGATCGAAACGACCTGTGACCATATGAGATTCAATTTCAGATGTTAAATTTTCTAATTGTTTCTGAGCTGATGGATCTTCAAATATACCATCAGTGAATAACGAATGAACAATTCGACCACCAAAATTCTCGTCATCATCATCTGGTTCAGCTGATAATTGCGAGAAATAATAATAATAATGTTGTTCAGTGAATAAAATATGAAATGCAGACGTGTTAGTTGTAATTAATGAATGAATTTTATATGACCTGACGTTGTGAAGACAAGTCAAATTTTATGTTTAGTATTAAAACACAATCTTAATTACAATTTTAGTAAGCTCCTTTTTATCATACACTAAAACTCTATAGAAAGCTGACAACACATATTCTTCAACTCTCTCTGTCTCCTATTCAAATTTAATAGTATTGGGATAAAGCGTGGAAAAAATGGCTTAGTGTACATGTGGGCTTATTATTCCTACGGCAGTGAAATCTCCTAAATTTAATTTTAGCGTTACTCTACTATGAAAACTTATTTTCCATACTTTTAGGTTTGATAAAATTTTAGTAACAGTTGAAGCATTGATGAAATTAAATAATAAAGGGAACCCCAAATACAAATCTAACCACTCAATTGGTTTAATACTCTGATGTTTAATATTTAGGACTGTTATCATTCAAATCTAACAATCATGCTTCGGACTATATAAAATTGTCATGGTAATGCAGTTTAAGAAGAATATTTTTTTTCAGAAGCCAATTGACAAATAGTTGCCATGATCCAGAAGACGAGCAATTAAGTGTGACGATCTAGTCGCTACATGAGTACCATTTATCAAAATTTATTGTGGTAATTTCAAATGAATTGAGCATTGGATGGACTTTTTTATAGCGAAAGCAATGATATATTTGTAATAATTATTATAGCAACTCATGTGCAATTAAGTTTGTTCTCATTTAATTCGGTTAAGCCCTTTTGTAAACTTATTTGGCGGACAAAGACATCCGTACTATAGCAACATATTGTACCTTTATTATTGTTGTGCTTGTATGAAATATGTATGCTTGAACATTGCTTACCGACTACGTATATATCATTCTGCTAGCTTTATTATTAGCTCCTTAATTGATTCGATGATCCATTCATTTCCCTACATATATATATACATGTACATTTACACTCTACACTCTCGGTTCGCTGACTCATTCATTCGCCCCATTGCTTTGTGGTCTGAGTTATCTACTAATAAAACTGTAGTCGCTGCTTCTCTTTGCCTTCTGATTTCAAACAGCGTTGAGGATTATATGATAACGGTACGAAGATGATTGGTTATCGAAGCACAGCCACTACATACCCTAGTGGGTAGAATATCGGATTACAGAAGTTTTGTGATTTATTCTTCAGAGAACAAATAAATAACCGGACTACATTAACACAAGTTTAAACAGGACAGAAGAATAAAATAAAATCTTCAATGCAACCAAAATATCCTCTACATATGTAGTGAGGATGAATCTTGCAATAGATCAACGGCTTGGTGGTTAAGAAATCCGCTTTTAATCAACATGTAGTAAGTAGATTTAAACCCAACACAATAGCTCATCGGTTTAAGTATCCGAGTAGTTATTAAAAGCCTTCACATCTGATGTGTGACACAGAACAAAGTACATAAATCTGTACTTGGGCTGGATAAATGTATATAAGATTTATAACCACTTTCCTCTTCTTCCTGGACCTCGTAAGAGTTAATAGTTTTTGAAGTGTTGAAGATGTGGAATCCCTAAATACTAAATTCATGGAGAAACCAATTTAAGAATTGGCAAACTGATTTAAAGTGAACTGGGATGCAGAAGTAATAAAAAGAAATCACTAAGTAGAGCAGACTGAAATCAGCCGTTTTTGTGTAATTCGAAAACAAAGTGGAAGGCCCCATCGTGGTATGCATACATAACAGCATTACAAGAATACTCTTAGAAGTTAGGGCACATTGGTTAATTGCTGATCCATTTTTAAACCTTTGGACTACGCATTAATAGTATTAAACATTCACGTTATCTGACACGACTCCCACTACTTGAAAACGGAGACTAGCTACCTAACAAATATCTCTTTCTCAAGTGTCCAAGAAGGCAGATTTAACCTGTGATTAAAAAAAATTCACTACACAGGGCTTATTTCAGATTCGTCTACAAATAAAGTAAATTACAATCTTTGACTCCTGGCTAAATTAAGACTAAATGTGAAGGCCAAAGTACAGAATAAACGAAGGACTATACACAAATACGCATTTTCCCCAGTGAGAAGTCCCCTGACTACATACATAGTCCAAACATAATCTTCAGGATATCAGATTTTGTAAAAATAAAAGAAACAAACAGAACTTACCCAGAAAGTCGTCATCAAATTCATTATCAACCATCCCAATATCATCATGATGAGTGATTGAATCAATAGACTTAATTTGTTTTTCTGTATCAGATAACCTACCACCCCGTTTAACATCGATTAAAGTGGCATCCAAATCTTGATCAGGGTTTAACGTGAAATCAGCATCATGATGCATTGACAAATGATCACTCCCACGATAAATACTGTCACCAAATGTTTTGTCGCCATCACGAATCATTTCACGACTTGATACTTCATCGAATGCTGAATCTCCGAAATCATCATCTTGTCGTCCTAGATTAATCTCACCGAAATCTTCACGCATAGTTATATCTTCCGGACGACTTTGATTTATTGCTATAGTGTTCATATTTATCTCACTGTAAATGAATGTAAGATAATTATATTAAATATCACTTACTTGAGATCGGCTATAGTTGCTTCAAAATCATGAATATTCTCTGGTAAAGTGATAGCTGCGATAGCAGCTTCCCGATTTGCTTCATCTGGAAGGTCTACAACACCTGGACGAAATGCCATCTTGATTTTAACGAACGCCTCATTGCAGTCAGCAAGTAGGTATTTCGCCTTACGAGAGTAAATTCTCACTACACCCAATAATAAATGTCCAGAAGTTCTTAATGCCATTTTTAACTTTGGCTCTAAAATTGCCTCAACGCTAGAACTGATATTCGTTTCAAAAACATGAGCCCTGGTAAGCTTTTTATCCCAATGAGCAGCTAGCCATATACGGGCCAAAGGACCCTTTTTGCTGAGTACAAAATGTGCATAGAACATTGTTAGGCTGAAAATTAAAAAAATTAATACATAATGATAAACCAAGTTTTATCCATTAAAATGTAAGTTATTTCAAAAGTGCACAACTAAGAAATGTAAATTGGATAATAAAAAGTAATACCATTCAATAACTATCCACTTCACAAACTAAGCACTACGAAAAATGTATAAACTTTGATTTAAGAAAGGTCACAAGCACGACTTAATGGGCAAAAATGAAGATACTGATAACCTAATTTCTGGGATAAATTGACACCAATCCAAATTGTCCCGCTTCAGATTAGCACTACGCAAGAAAAACCAAACAGTAAGAATAAAAGTCTGCACAGTAGTAGAAAATCAACTGAAAAAGTTGAAAGAAATGAATTAAAAATATGGATCATGATGTTGACAACCAAGAGAAGAAGGTTAATCATTCAGAGCCCCTTCCTGATAGCACTGATAAAGACCGAATGGATAGATGCAAGCATGCCTGTAGCTCTCCTAGAGTTACTGACTGTCCCGAGTCCGGGTAAGGGAGGAGGGTTTGTCATGGAGTCAGCAATCCCATCCTGTAGAAACCAACAATGCTAAGAAACGCCAACCAGAGTAAACAATTCAAACCATTTAAACCCTGCCTTCCACATTGAAGGATTTTCACTCAGAAGAATTATGACGCCTCATGGTGAAAACCAAGGTTCTTCGGAAGTCACGAGGTCGTGAGACAATTAATATAGGCACATGAAATGTTCGGACAATGTACGAGACTAGAAGGATCAATCAAATAGCTACGGAAATGAGGAGATACAGCTTGGAGATCCTCGGGATAAGTGAAACATATTATACCCAAGCTATACAGAAAAGGACAGATTCGGGAGAGATACTGCCGTACTCTGGTCAAAAAGACGATGCTCCCCACACTCAGGGAGTTGCTCTGATGCTGTCCAAAGAAGCATGTAAAGCACTCATAGGATGGGGATATTATGGACCCATGATCATCAAACCATCCTTCAAAACAAACAAGGGAATCACAATGAATGTTATCCGATGTTGTGTAGCCACTAATGATAGCAATGACGAAGATAAAGATCAGTTTTACAAGAGGTTGCAATCGGTTGTAGAAAAGTGCTTAGGAAGCAGCACTCATAAACCTTCCTATAGATGTCGCTCCACCAATGATCGAAGAAATCAGGATGACCATCAGACAAATCAAGAGTGGGAAAGCAGTAGAACCTGATAATATACCAATCGATGCACTGAAGTCAGACATAGAAGCAACTGTAAAGATGCTTCACATTATATTCAGGAAGATTTGGGAGGGAGAATAGGTGACGACAGACTAGAAAGAAGGACACTTCATATCGAAGAAAGATCTGAGCGAATGCAAGAACTCAGCTGCAGAGGCATCAAACAACTATCGGTACCAGGAAAAGTTCTGAACAGTGTTGCTGAACAGGATCGGTCGTGCACAGGCCAAATCGTGACACTACGGATAATCGTTGAACAATCGATGGAATGGAACTCGTCACTATACATCAAATTCATTTACTATGAGAAAGCATTTTACAGTGTGGATAGGAGAACCTTATGGAACCTTCTTCGATACTATGGTGCACCCGAGAAAACTGTCAAAATCATACGGAATACACTACATCAACGACAGCTGACAAACGCATTCCAAGTGGGGACCGGAGTTAGACAAGGCTACCTAATCTTCACCTTTCTCTTTCTTGTGGTTGGATGGATTATGAAGACCCGCACATCTGAGGGAAAGCACGGAATACAATGGACAGCTTGAACATAGCTAAGCGACTTGGAGTTCGCAAATGACCTCTCTTCTATTCCATACACACGAAAAAATGAAGGTCAAGACAGTCAGTGTAGGGCTAGCCTTCATAGCAGTAGGCCTCCACACACAAAAATGATGGAGCAAGATCAAAAAATGCAACGCTCCCAAATGCCCTGGTACGGCTGAGAGTAGGAAGAGTCTTCTCTCCCTCTCGAAATGCTCTCACATGGCCACGCGTATACAGCCTCTGCTAGGGAAGTCCTACACACTGCTTTCTCGCAGCATTACTGTTGTTTACGAAATTGAAAGGACGAAGAGTGAATGTCCGGCGCTTTAACCGGGTTGGTGGATACGGAGAGTCAACCAACGGGAGTTGGAAAACTCTGATTCCAAACCAGTGGTGCACATGGGCTCCAGTATCCTGAAGGAACAAATGGCGTATGAACCAATTATTGGTCACCGGCTACCATGGGACTGCATCTCCTCACGGTGCTCCACTGCCTTGTGGGCCAGACCTTTAAGTCCAAGGCTCGGGGTGTGGCCCCCTAAGAAAACCACCCGCTTCGGTCTGGGCATCGAGGCAGTATCCCAGCCCTCACACATATCAATGAGATTTGTGTAGCGCATATGTATTTGGAGCCTCTTTGTACCAATATCTGAGTGTTAAAATAAATAAATAAAATACAACACGGATAGCACCGACCAAATCAAATATGATGAAGCAGCTCTGGAAAACGTGGGAACATTCACATACCTGAGAAACATCATTGCCCGACCGTTGTTGCTACCTTGACGTGGTGGTCGGGCTTGCCTACCGTGATGAAGCAACCGAGCTATACTGGCTGGAACAACCGTTCCTCAAGGTCCTACCATGTCAGACAGGTCGGTTGAAGAGCGGCAAGACTAAAAGCAACAAACCCAAGGTCCGAAGGCGAAGTCGTACTGCTGACTGTACAGAGGTGTGACAGCAGTAAGGTGTTTCCTTCAGACAACCAGCATGACAGCGATGCCGCCTTCCCACAAGGAGGGGTGGGGTTAGAAAAGGTCGACCCTAAAAATGCACACCTCACCTTACCCCACGGATTTCCGTCTCCAGCGGTAAGGCCCTTTGAAGAACGGAGCTAATACGTCACAAACCTCTCACGAAAAGGCCGTGCGCGACCGGCCTCAAGCAGTTGTCCCTTGGGCACTGCGGTCACGCTCTCAGGTCACTGAGACCGCCTCTAATCCAATTTCCTTTTCAGGTACCTCCAGAAGAACCCTTCCACGGTGTGGGCAACCGGGAAGTGATAACCGCCGGCATACCTCTAACAGCACCCAAGACCACTGTATTCATAATCAACCTTCCTCTTCAATTCCTATTATTCCTCCTACATCGACTTTCAACCCTAAACTTCCTCCTTCGGCTTCCTCCTCAAGTGTCACCATAGACAACGATTCTAGTGCTCGAAACCCTGTCCCAGGTCTACTGAAACCTCGCTCCAAACTACACATTGGAGCCTTCAACGTACGCACCCTATGTCAAATCGGTCAGCAGGCTTCCTTGGCTAAAACCCTAGAGTCTCTTTCCATTGATGTATGCTGTGTCTCGGAAACACGCATACAGGATTCCAGTGTGGTCATTCACTTGACCTCACCTCGGCAAAACGGAGAGCCAACGAGATACACCCTACGTGTATCTGGTGACCCGATGGCCAGTTCTCGTGGACTGGCAGGTGTAGAAATAGCACTAAGCATGAGGGCGGAACAAGCACTGCTAGAGTGGATCCCCGTCAACAGTCGTCTATGTACTGTTCGGCTAAACGGCTCCGTACGAACTCGGAAGGATAGGGACACACGTCGTTGCCTTTTCGTCGTTTCTGCCTACGCTCCCACTGACTGCAGCTCAGATGATGTGAAAGATGAATTTTACAGAAAGCTGTCCGAACTTCTTCAGAAAGCTAAACGCTCAGACATAGTACTCGTAGGGGGTGACTTTAATGCTCAGATAGGTAGTTTAAACCAAACAGAAAGGCATTTAGGTGGATATTTTAGTATTCCGACACAGCGAACAGATAATGGTGACCGTCTGCTGCAACTGTTCTCAGACAATCGCTTATTTTTAGCAAACACAAATTTTAAGCATAAGGAGAGACATCGTCTAACATGGCGACCCCCTACACCAAACCAACGATGGACTCAAATAGACCATATTGCCATCAGTCATCGTTGGAGAGGGTCGGTAGAAGATTGTCGCTCATTCTGGAGTACCTGCTTGAACTCCGACCACGCCCTAATACGGGCACGCATCTGCTTGCGCCTCACCGGACGCAAAAAAGCCACATTAAAAAGACCCATTAGAACTGAGTTGAGTAACGAGAAAACCAAAAATAGGTTCCAAGAACAACTGAGTTCACACTTAGGTAGTTCTGAAGACGAGGCTGACCCAGATGTTGCTTGGAAAGACATACAAGCAGCTGTGGAAGCAGAAGTGACATCTATTAGTGATTTAAACCAAAGGGTTACAAAAAACCAATGGATTTCCTCAAGGTCTATCACACTGATGGATTCTCGTAAACTCATCCCATCAGGCTCCGAACACGATGAAGAGCGACAACAAATCAGATCTAGGTTAAGCAAGTCTAAGGAACGACTGTGAGCAGTGGTGGGCAACAAAAGCAAGAGATGGAAAAGGCAGCGGCTATAGGGAACACAAGACAGCTCTACAGACTAATAAAAGAAACTGGAATTAATAAGTCAAGTGTAAGTGAGATTATATCGGAAAAAGGCAATACTCTCATCTGCTCCCAGTCCAGACGTTTAGAACGATGGGCGGAACATTTCAGAGAACAGTTCAGCTGGCCTTCACCTACTCTACAACTACCCTCCATTCCCAGACAGCGTGAATAGAACATTGAAGTAGGTCCCCCAACTCTTGCTGAAGTTCAAAAGGCTATAGTTAATCTGAAACGAGGAAGGGCAGCTGGTCCAGATGGACTGGCTCCAGAAGTCTTTAAGGATGGTGGTCCAATTTTAGCGACTAGGTTGACTAATATTTTAGCTAAAATCTGGGAGTTAGACGTTATCCCATCTAACTGGTCACAATCACTTATCGTCCCAATATATAAGAAAGGGTCAAAATCATCCTGTGACAACCACAGAGGGATTAGTTTAACTAATATAATATCTAAAATACTAGCCTCGATAATTATCAGACGCCTAACTAAGACTCGTGAACTGCAAACACGAGAGAACCAAGCT